CCCTAGGATAAGAGACTAGGAAGAACTTGGAATAGAATTGGCAGCAACAGAGCTGGGACTTCTTAGGGATGAGTTCACAGTGGGTTGGGAGAGCCAGGGCTGGGTTTTAGGTGATTTCCTTGAGGTAATGATCAGGGGGCGAGGGGAGTACTCATCCCACTCAGCCACAGCTCCCCAATTTTAGCCAAAGAAATGGGATCAGGGAGAGACCCACTGCCTCCCTCCTCCCTTGACCCAGGGCTCTAACTCCACCAGCATCTCGATGAAACATTGCCACGTCCAGGTCAGTGGGGCCAGCATGAGCCTGGATGGTGTGTTCAGTGTGGTCAACAGCCGAGCCATGTCGAACCAGGACATTGTCCCTGGAAGTGCAGAAGAGGGGATCATGCTAAGAAGCTTTGGGGAAATGGAACTGGACTAAGCTCTGGGTGGTGATCATTTACCTGAGGTAGCTGCGGCCCCGTTGGCTGTCCTGGTCCTGGGCCCGGCCAGAACGGGCACTGCTCACTGACGAGACAGTAGAGGCACCCAGAGTGATACGGATGAGGCCACTCTCCTCGAAGAGAGCCGTGTTGTTATAGGCCCCAGGCCCCTGGGGAGGAGGGGAAGATGGGTGGGACAGGGATGTGAGGCCAGGCTTGAGGAAACCTCAAAACTGAAAGCTGGGGTATATATGGCTTAGGGGTAGATTGCTTGGCTAGCATGCATGAGGCCCTGGGTTCAAGTCCTCAGTACCATAGACAGAGAAAAAGCCAGAAATGGAACAGTGGCTCAAGTGGCAAGAGTGCTAGCCTTGAGCAAAAAGAAGCTCAGAGACAGTGCCTAGGTCCTGAGTTCAAGCCCCAGGAGTGGCAAAAAAGGGGTGGGGGGAAATGGGGAGACCTCCCTGGACTCTGGATCCCAACCTCTCTGGGCCCTGGCAGCCCCTCACCGGCCCTGGTGCTGGCCTTGGCTCTTCTGGTACTGCCTTCTTGCCTAGACAGGCTGGTGTCCAGGCAGCCCGGGCATCTGCATTCAGGATACAGAAGAGCAGTAACACTGCCAGGCCCTGTGGGTCAGCGAGCGAAGGGTCATTGAGAGATCACAGAAGGTCAAAGGAGGTCTAGTGGGGCCAGTAGACATTTCTAAAGGTCAACAGTAGGGTATCAAGTCACTGTAGGGAGTCAGTGATGAGTCCAAGTTGGGGGAAAGGGGGCTCAGAAAGGGAATTGGAGAAAGGCAGTGAGGCAGTGAGGGCGGGGGGGGGGGGGGGAAGGGGTCAAAGGCAGGAGTGCATGGGGTCATTGACAATCTGGGGGTCAACTGGAGATCAGGGGAGCTGCAGCCAGGTGCTGGTGGCTCACGCCTGTCATCCTAGCTACTCAGGAGGCTGAGATCTGAGGATCACAGTTCAAAGTCAGCTTGGGCAGGAAAGTCAGTGAGACTCCTATCTCCAATAAACCACTAGAAAACCAGAAGTGGTGCTGTGGCTCAAGTGGTAGAGCGCTCGTCTTGAACTGAAGAGCACAGGGACAGTGCCCAGGCCCAGAGTTCAAGCCCCATGCCCAACAAAATAAAAGGAGAGCTGTAGGGTTAAGGTCAATCCAAGGTCAATACCCAGCCTGACCTCAGTGGATCTAGCTGAGAACTCCAGCTGTCCTGTCTGGTTCTGAAAAGAACACCCAACCAGCACCCATCATCCAGTCAATAGGAACTCCAGGCCTTAGGACAATGCCCTATCTAGGGTGCCGAAGGTACCTGGAGGCCACAGAGTCCAGCATGGAGGTAGTGGAAGGCCAGGATGCTGTGGTTAACTGACAGGAGGCCAAAGAGCCAGGAGGTACTGACCAGCAGAAGGAGCAGAAAGGAACTGCGCAGTGTCCTGCTGTGGCGGGAAGACATGCAGAGGTCAAGCAGGGCTGGAGGAAGGCCACACCAGGACACAACAAGGCGGGGTCACATGGAGATGTGGAAGAGAAAGAACTCACACAGAAACATGGAGCACTGAGGAGACTAGGGAAGAGGAGCAGTCACGCAAAGAACGGGAAGAGCACTATGGGAGCCATGGAAAAACATGGGGAAGACACAGGAATATGGAGCGATTTGAAATCATAGAAAAGACAGGGCAAGGGCTGGGAAGGTGGCTTAGTGGTAAAATGCTTGCCTTAGCATGCATGAAGCCCTGGGTTCGATTCCTCAGTAACATGTCCACAGAAAAAGCCAGAAGTGGCACTGTGGCTCAAGTGGTAGTGTGCTAGCCTTGAGCAAAAGCAGTTCAGGGACAGCACCCAGGCCCTGAGTTCAAGCCCCAGGAAAGGAAAAGAAAGAAAGAAAAGACAGGGCAAGCTGGGTGCTAGTGGCTCATGCCTGTCATCCTAGCTACTCAGGAAGCTGAGATCTGAGGATTATGGTTCAAAGCCAACCAGGGCAAGAAAGTCCGTGAGACTCTTATCTCCAATGAACCACCAGAAAACCGGAAGTGGTACTGTGGCTCAAGCGCTAGAGTGCTAGCCTTCAATGAAAGAGTTTGAGGACAGCGCCCAGGCCTTGAGTTCAAGCCCCACGACTGACCAAAATAAATAAATAAATAAAGACAGGTTAGGAGAACCATGAAGACAGAAGAACGGGAATGTGGAGCAACATACGACAAAGGCACAGAGAGGGACCACAGGCCAGGCAGGTGTGACTTTTTCCCTTCATGCAGAATTTGGAGCTCAAACGACACCAGGGATCTTCTGGGATGGGGAGTGGGGGTCTGGGCCTGACCCCACCCATGCAGGTGTGTCATCCTGACAATGATCCCAGCCAACTCACAACACAGAGGTCTTCTTCGCCTCCCTCTGCCCTGTGGAACAGGCTGTGCGGGCAGCAAGGAGAAACATGGTCCCATTCATCTGGACCCATGATCGGCGTGTCCAGCCAGGCAGGATGGAAAAGGAGAGAGAGGAATAGTGAGAGACAAGGAGACACAGACCAAGTGATACCGAAAGGCAGAAAAAGTGAGAAACATACATACAACCATACTCCTTGAGGTGGTGGGGGGGAAGGTGGGGGGGAGAGAGAGATCAGAAACAAAAAGAGATAAAGGAGCTTCAAATCACAGGAGCTGGCACCAAGTAGCTTATGCCTGTAATCCTAGCTACTCTGGAGGCTGAGATCAGAGAATCACAGTTCAAACCAGCCAGGGGAAAAAAAGTCTATGAGATTCTACTTTTTGGTTTTTGGTTTTTTATTTATTTTTTCCTTGTCAGTTGTGGGGCATGAACTCAGGGCCTGGGCACTGTCTGAGCTTTTCTACTCCAACCTAGTACTCTACCACTTTGAGTCACAGCTCCACTTCCAGTTTTCTGGTGATTATTTGGAGATAAAAGTCTTATGCGGGGGCTGGGAAGTTGGCTCAGTGGTAGAGCGCTTGCCTTGCATGCCTGAGGCCCTGGGTTCGATTCCTCAGCACCACATAAGCAAAAAGAAAACAGCCGGAAGTGGCACTGTGGCTCAAGTGGTAGAGCACTAGCCTTGAGCTGAAGATATGAGGGACAGCACCCAGGCTCAGAGTTCAGGCCCCACGACCAGACCCCCCAAAAAAAAAGTCTTATGGGGGCTGGGAATGTGGTTTAATAGTAAAATGCTTGCCTAGCATGCATGAAGCCCTGGGTTCGATTCCTCAGTACCACATCCACAGAAGAAGCTGAAAGTGGCGCAGTGGCTCAAGTAGTAGAGCACTAGCTTTGAGCAAAAAGAAACCCAGGGACAGTGCTCAGGCCCCAGTGTTCAAACCCCAGGACTGGCAAAAAAAAAAGTCTTATGGACTTTCCTGTCCAGGCTGGCTTTGAACTGCAATCCTCAGATCTCCTGATTAGCTAGGATGACAGGCTTGAGCCACCAGTGCCAAGCTGTCTATGAGATTCTTGTTCACCTAACCACCAAAAAATTGAAAGTGGAGGTGTGGCTCAATTGTTAAAGCACTAGCCTTGAGCAAAAAAGGCTTAGTTCAAGCCATAGTACACACACACACACACACACACACACACACACACACGGGCCAGTGTCGATAGCGCACACACACACACACACACACACACACACACACACACATGGGCCAGTGTCGATAGCACACACACACACACACACACACACACACACACACGGGCCAGTGTCGATAGCTCACACCTGTAATCCTAGCTACTCAGGAAGCTGAGATCCCAGGATCATGGTTCAAAGCCAGCCCAGGCAGGAAAGCCTGTGACACTCTTATCTTCAATAAGCCACTCAGAAAACCGGAACTGGTGCTGTGGCTCAAGTGGTAGAGTGCTAGCCTTGAGCTGAAGAGCTGAGGGACAGCACCCAGAGTTCAGGCCCCACAACCAACAAAAAGAAAGAAAGAAAGCCAGAAAGAAAGAAAGAAAGAAAGAGAGAAAGAAAGAAAGAATGACCAAAGCCAGGTGCTGATGGCTCATGTCTATAATCCTAGCTACTCAGGAGGCTGAGATCTAAGGATGAAGGTTCAAAGCCAGCCTGGGTAAGAAAGTCTGTCAGACTCTTATCTCCAATGAACCACCAGAAAGTGGAAGTGGAGCTATGGCTCAAAATGGTAGAATATTAGCCTTGAATGAAAAAGCTCAGGAACAGTAGCCAGGCCCTGAGTTCAAGCCCCAGGAGCAGCAGCTCCAACACAACAAAAAAGAAATAATGACCAAAAGAAAAAGAGAGGGAGAGAGAGACAGAGACAGACAGAGAGAGAGATAGACAGAGTCAGAGATGTAGAAAGAAGGAGGCAGAAGTGCTAAGCCTGGCATAGTGCCTGCTCCCATCTCCCTAGAACTTGAATCTAGGACCAGACACCGGAGAAGGAAGGAGCTCAAGAAATGTATGGACAGCCAACCTGGTGCCCTCAGCACTCTCCCTCACACCCTCCCTTCCCCTTGGGAGGGAAGCCCACAGGTGGCACACAAGTTGTGCCTAGTGCCGGGCACTTACCACTATGACAAGGATGACAGGGCCGGCAAAACTCCAGATGAGAGGTTCGTGGATAGAGATCCAGCAAAAGTCAGGGTTCCCATAGCCCTCGGGGTCCAGGCCAACAGCGAGACCTTGGGAAAAACAAAGGATAGACCTAGAGTTCAGACTGCCCACGAGTGAGCAGTAGGAAAGGGTAAGAGCGAGTGGGTTCCTCCCTATGGAGATGGGGGTCGGGGAGGGAAGCTGCCGGGAGGTTAAGGTTGGCGAATATGATCCAGAATGAGCATGGAACTGGGTCGGATCATGTGATGGACAGAGGTTGGGGGCGGGGTCATAACGGTGAGTGGGCGTGGCCTCACCCAGCAGCACAGCGGGGACGCCCCAGCCCAGGGCATGGTAGAAGCGCATGGCACCACGGTCCACGTTGCGTGGCTCAACTTGCATGCGGTAGAGGTGCAGGCCCTGCACCAGGAGCCATGCAAAGGTGCTGAGGAAGAAGTAGTGCAGGAGGATGGCCACCGCAGTACACACCAGCTGAAGGCAGAGCGTGTATGTTGGGGGTGGGGGGGTGGTCAGGACCTCTCCTGACCCCTCCCCAAAACATCTGCTTCCCACCCCTGCCCCCAAAACCGCAGCATCTTTTACCCCAAACCTTCGTCCCTGAACTCGGACCCTGAGCCTTGCCCCCAGTCCTTTTCAAGTCCCCCAGATTGGAGACAACAGGACAACATGAAAACCTAAGCCAGGTGCCAGTGGTTCACGCCTGACTACTTAGGAGGCTGAGATCTGAGGATCGTGGTTCAAAGCCGCCCAGGCAGGAAAGATCATGAGACTCTTATCTATAATGAATCATCAGAAAACCGGAAGTGGAGCTGTGGCTCAAAGTAATAGAGCACTCACCTTGAGCTGAAAAGCTCAGGGACAGTACCCAAGCCCTGAGTTCAAACCCCAGGACTGACAGGAGAAAAATAGAAAAAAGAAAACCTGGTTGTGGGTCCGGTGGATCCCTAAGAGGAAGAGGAGCTCGGCCACCCCCAAGGCTGCTGCAACATTGGCATGGATCCCACACACATTGGACTTGAGGCTGCGCAGGCTCAGTAGGAGGGCTGCTGTCAGCACCAGGGCAGCCACTGACACGGCTATGATCACGTGCGTGAATATAGCCAGCAATTCCAGGTCGCCCTCCAGCCGCTGGGGACACACAGAGATGGTCACTGGGAATGGGAGCAGAACTTTCCTTGCCCCATTTTTCCAGATGTTGCACACAGTCTCACCTCACGTGGAGAGGCGTCCATGAGAATCCCGAAGGTGCCTGTCCGGCTGCAGCGACACCAGGCATGGGACCCATTCCTGTGCACCAGCTCACAGTCCCGCGCTGTCCACATGCCATGCTGCTCTTCCCTGAAACCACAGGACACATAGACCTGCCTTCTCCTCCCCACCTGTGCCCCACCACAAGGAAGGATGGTCTTGAAAGAGGTTCATGGGAGAGGAGCTGAGCCTTTGGTCGTGGGGCTTGAACTCAGGGCCTGGGCACTGTCCCTCAGCTCTTCAGCTCAAGGCTAGTGCTCTACCCCTTGAGCACCACTTCTGGCCTTTTCTGTTTATGTGGTACTGAGGAATCAAACCCAGAGCTTCATGCATGTTAGGCAAGCGCTCTACCACTAAGCCACATTCGCAGCTATAGGAACATTCTTAACGGGTTTAGTGACACAGACAGGGGCCTCGAGCGGGGGAGTGGGGGACAATCAGTTGGCTTCCTAGGGCCTAACAGAGGGACCAAAAGAGTTCCAGAATGGAGTCCTCACGGGCCAGGTGGGTCCCACTGCACGCAGATCGCCTTGCTCCGATTGGCTGTCTGTAGCAGGCGGAACTCAAGGCTGATGGGGGACTCCAGGACACCCCTTAAGAAGTTGCGTCCATGGAACACAGCCACGCTGACCACGGGAGAGTTCATTACAGGGTTTTGGGGCAGCCTGAGGAAACACACATCTGAGTTTGGACACCTACAATACCACTACCCCCGCCCCTGCCCCAACCACCACCAAACACACCTACTTAAGCTCTTGTTTTAAAAGTGCAAGACCAGGTCTTGAATTTGGTACCTGACGCTTTGGCTCATTTGCTGGTGCTCTACCAGCTAAGCCACACCTCCAACCCTACCCACATAAGATCTGACAATCTACCCACCCCATACCAGTTGTTATAGCTGGATCTAGGATCTAGGAAGTTTTCTAAGAAAACTTCCAGCCTCTGCTGGGTTGCTGGGATTTGAAGACTCACTCCCCGGACTGAGGCCTGAGGCCCGAGTAACTCTGTCTGATCAGTTCTGCCTCAAAATTTCCCTTCCATCACCCTTAGGACTCCAACGATCAGTGTCTGCCTATCTCTATCAGCCAGTTAGGCCAGGTAGAAACTCACAGGAAGTTCGGGGGCGGGACCAAACTGGGAGTACCTCTACCCATGGTACCTGGCACCTCGGCGCTCAGCCTGGAACTGGGCAGGGAGCAGACCCCCCAAGGTGCGGTACACGAGGAGGATGACAATGGAGATGCCGAGTTCCGGTTCGGGTTCTGGGGGAACCGGTGGGGGGACCACACTGGAGACACTGGAGTTTTCTGTGCTGCTTCCTGTGGGCAGAACTGTTGGGGCAGAAGGGAAAGTCATTGTCAGTGACCTTTGAACCCAAGCACCCACAATCCCAGTACTAAGCATGGGGATCTGGTCCCTGCAGGTCCACTGCTAGGAAGTGGGGAAGGGGTCTATTAAAGAAACGTTCAAGCCAGGCACCCATGGCTCATGCCTGTCATCCTAGCTACTCAGGAGGCTGAGACCTGAGGATCATGGTTCAAATCCAGCCCGGGCAGGGAAGTCCCTGAGACTTTTATCTCCAATAAACCACTCAGAAAATCAAAAGTGGCGCTGTGGTTCAAGTGGTAGAGGGCTTGCCTTGAGCTGAAGAGGTGAGGGACAGTGCCCAGGCCCAGAGTTCAACCCCACAACTGAAAAAACAAAGCAAAACAAAAAGAAAACTGCAGGACATAGCACTGTGGCTCAAATGGCCCAGTGCCAGCCTTGAGTGGAAAATGTAGGAGGCAGTGTTCAGGTCCTGAGTTCAAGCTCCAGTACTGGCACAAAAAGAAAAGAAAAGAAAAAATTAAAAAAAAAAAAGGTAAAAGGAAAAGAAAATAGAAAAAAGGAAAAAAAATGAAGAAGAGCCATATACCAGTAGGTCATACCTGTAATCTTAGTTACTCATGAGGCTGAAATTTGAGTATCGTGGCCCAAAAGGCAGCCTGGAAGGAAAGTCTGTGAGACTTTTCTCTCCAATAATTTACCCCCAAAAAACAAGCCAGAAAAAAAGAGGAGGAGGAAGAGGACGAGGAGGAGGAGGGAAAAGGGGGAGAAGAGGGAAGGGGGAAGGGAAAGGTGGTGTGGCTCAAGTAGTAGAGTGCTAGCCATGAACAACAACAAAAAAAGTTCAGGGACAGCTCCTAGGCCCTGAGTTCAAGTTCCAGGATGGCACAAAACCAAAAGAATTAAAATTAAAATAGAAGGCAACATGTTTGTTGTAGGGAAGGACAGGAAGACAGGACCTGTTGTGGGGATTACTCAAGGTTTTTTGTTTTTGTTTTTTTGTGCTGATCCTGGGGCTTGAGCTCAGGGCCTGGGCACTGTCCCTGAGCTTCTTTGTGGTCAAGGCTCGCACTCTACCACTTGAGCCACGGTGCCACTTCCGGCTTTTTCTGTGTATGTGGTACTGAGGAATAGATCCCAGGGCTTCCTGCATGCTAGGCGAGCATTCTACCAACTAAGCCATGTACCCAGCCCTGAAGGGCTCTTACCTTGGGATGGGGATGGCCGTGGAGTTTGGGAAGGCAGTAACACATGGGTATGAGGATCCCAGGCATCCTGGCCCCGAAAAAGGTTGCTGTGGTAACGAGGGTAGCGATGGGTACTCTGTGCAGAACTAAGGTGTTCCATGCGGTCGATACTGAGCACTGCCCAGAAGAGAGAAAAGTGACCCCTTCAAGGACCTTTCTTCCTATAACAAGGGTCCCACTCCCATCTACCCCATTGTGCACCTTATTTATTTTTTGCCAGTCCTGGGGCTTGAACTCAGGGCCTGGGCACTGTCCCTGAGCTTCTTCTTTGCTCAAGGCTAGCACTCTACCACATGAGCCACAGCGCCACTTCCGGCTTTTTCTGTGTATGTGGTACTGAGGAATCGAACCCAGGGCCTCATGCATGCTAAGCAAGCACTCTACCACTGAGCCACATTCCCAGCCCCTGCACCTTACTTTTCTGAGCCACATTTTCCTTGCTATTAGTGCAGGGCCTTTTTCTAGCAAGTGCTGATGGCATCAGTAGTGTCAGTCTTTTGGATCTACAAATTCTTGCTCTCCCCCCGCCCCCTCTTTAGGTTGTCGTTTGTTTTGGTGTTGGTGGTTGTGGGGCTTGAACTCAGGGCCTGGGCACTGTCCCTGAGCTCTTTGAGCTCAAGGCTAGTGCCCTACCACTTGAGCCACAGCTCCACTTCCGGTTTACATGTGGTTCACTGGAGATAAGAGGCTCACGGGACTTTCCGGTTCAGACTGGCTTTAATTCAGTAACCTCAGAGCCCAGCCTCCTGAGTAGCTAGGGTGACAGGTGTGAGCCACTAGGCTACCCAGCAGCCCTTGCTCTTTCCCATCCCCGTCCCGCCCTACCCTCTCCACCACGCACTGATATTGGGTGTCACTAGCCCCACGGGATTCAGGTAAGTGAGTTCCATGTTCCTCGCCAGTGTGGCTGCGTATTCCTCCAGATGTTGTACCAGTCCTGCGCTGCCAGGGGAGGCCCCGGGGGCCCGCTGCCCCAGGGCTGCCCACAAGTCCTCGGTCTCTGGAGCAAGCAGTGCAGAGCCAGCCCACAGTAGATTCTGGAAGGATGGAGATAATACAGTTGGGTTTAACTAGGTAGTGAGAATGTTTAAAGAGATAGGGTAGATATAAGAGGACTGCCCAGTTACTCAGAACGGAAACCAGGAAGCAAGAAGGCAGGCTAGATAGTACAAAGGAAGGAAAACAATCCAGAACATTTATTTCCCCACAGGTCTGATTTAATGATCTATTACAGGTCAATTGTAGTCATGGGGCTTGAACTCAGGGCCTAGATACTGTCCCTAAATTCTTCAGCTCAAGGCTAGCGCTCTACCACTTGGAGCTACAGCTCCACTTCCAGTTTTCTGGTGCTTAACTGGAGATAAGAGTCTCACTAACGTTCCTGCCTGGGCTGGCTTTGAACCATGATCCTCAGATCTCAGCCTCCTGAGTTGCTAGGAATATAGGCAGGAGCCACCAGCACCTGGCTTACAGGTCTGTTCTTGAGCTGAGGATCTAGGGCTGGGAGATGAGGGAGCTGGGATGCAAAAGAACAGGGGGAATCTCAGAGCTAGTTCATGGGAACACAGGATGTGGGCCTACCTCATTGAAGTGGGCATCTTGTGTGGCGGTCAGGCCAAATCCCCGTTGACGGCTTTCAAAGGCCAACAAATAAGCCAGCAGGCGGGCAGTGACGCGGACATCTTGACTAAAGTAGTAGTCGGCCTGGCCAGTCACTTCACGTAGTCTCTGAGCTAGCTTCTTGGCCTCCACCGTATCTAGTGCCGTCTTGTTCAGCTCTAGACCATCCAGCTGCCGGGACAAGAATGCAAATATTGGGGCTGGGAAGGTGGCTCAGTGGTAGAGTGCTTGCCTCGCATGCATGAGGCGCTGGGTTTAATTCCTCAGCACCACATAAGCAGAAAAAAGCCAGAAGTGGTGCTGTGGCCCAAGTGGTAGGGTGCTTGCCTTGAGCACAAAAACTTAGGGACAGTGCCCAAGCCTTGAGTTCAAGCCCCAGCACACACACACACACACACACCACAGGTTTACAGGATGAAACAGTGCCCAAGCCTTGAGTTCAAGCCCCAGAACACACACACACACACACACACACACACACACACACAACCCACAGGCTTACAGGATGAAAGGTTTGACTAGACTGAAGGAAAAGCCCAGGCAGGGTTGGGGGGGTCATCAAGAGATAGGATGTGGGATCTGGAGCCCACCCCAAGCCTTGAGTACAAGTCTGGGCAGAGCCTTACCAGCAGGCTGAGTTCTCGAAAGGCGGGGGACGTACAGTTGAAAAGGTCAGGCTCCAGCCATCCGTGGTCTTCATCACACAACCGCACAGCAGCACCTAGGGGCAGATAACCCCTTGATTTACCTTTGCTAACAGGGTGACCACATCCCCCTCTAATTCTGGGGGGGACGCCCTGCAGTATGGGCCTCTATGGCTTGATACCTAGATGTTGCGGCCCAGATCCAGATGAGTCCCCAGGGACTTGCTTTGCTGGCCAAAACCTGAGAGGTTTTGTGGACCATGCTCACCACCACACACATAAAGGGCACAAGGATGAACTGAGCATGCGCGCACGTGCGCACACACATTCATTCCAACACACACATGGGCCAGGATGAGTTCACAGACAGGCCAGATTCACATTCACACACACACACACACACATTTTGCTCACACACACATATACACTCTTGCTCACACACACATATGTGACAACAAGCACACAGACACATAGTACTCTCTCAATTACACACAAACACACCAACACAGACAAGGTCGTCCAGGACTATGTGGGACCCACGTGGGGGTGGGATTTAGAGTCCTCCATACATTTTAATTAGTTATCCCAATGGTGACTTTGCTCTCCCCTGTCTGTGGGGTTGGGATGGAAGGTGACCTGGGCTCGTTAACTAGCAAACAGAAGGGACCCTAACCTAGATACAGAACCCTGAATCCCCTCAAGACAGACCCACAGATGCATGCACAGGCACAGAATGACATATGCACGAGCATGCGCACACAGATGATCTCTGTTCAGCCATGGCACAGATCCCAAGCAGCAGGGAGGGGCTGTTGGGGGCCTCAGCCAGAGGGGCGGGGCTGTGGCCTCAGCCAATTAGGGAAGAGCCTCAGGGAGTGGGGCAGGGTCTCAATAGGTTATAGGCAGTAGGAAGAATCTGCAGGGAACCCAGGAGATCTGGCAACCAGTAGAGGCCTCCAGAGACTTCTGGTAATGGGGAATGGATTTTTTTTTTTAGGGACCTCTGGCAGTAGGGAAGGGAGGGCTGCAAGGACCTTAAGCAGCATGAGGGATCTGCAAAAGCTCTGGCAGTGGGAGGGGAGGGCAGCGCACCTGAGCAAACACGTACCCCTTACCTGTACCCCGCAATCCTGCCCAGAAGCCAAGAGAAACAGATGGAGGCTTAATGAGGATGTAAGGGAGAGACCCAGAGTCCCCAGGGGGTAGGAAGGACCTCACACACATTCCTACCCGACTCCCACCTCTTGGCAGATACAAGGCCCCCCAGTTTAGGAAAAGAGGTGGCTCTAGCAGTGAGGGAACAGTCCCTGCCCCTTCCCTGAGCTATGTTTTGCTCATCATTACATACTCACCCAGGGCCCCCCGGGGACAAGGCACTGTGGCCAAGACACCGAATTTGGTCTGAGGCCACCACACACCAGATCTCAGGGACTTGGGGCAGGCATCGTAGAGCACTACGGAGAGAAAAAGCACTGAAGAAGACAGGCCAGATGTCTGAGCAGGTGGCTCAGAGGTAAGAGTGCTTGCCTTGCATGCATGAGGCCCTGAGTTCGATTCCTCAGCACCACATAAGCAGAAAAAGCCAGAAGTAGCTCTGTGGCTCAAGTAGTAGAGCGCTAGACTTGAACAAAAAAGAGCTCAGGGACAGCACCCGGGCCTTGAGTTCAAGCCCCATGACCAGTGGGAAGGAGGGGGAGGGAGAAGGTGGTGGATGGAACCTATAGGTAGAACTGGGTAGAATCTGCTCACCTCGGCAGCCACTGGCCGTCACTTCTGCAAAAGGACTGTCACAGCTGTTACACTGGCGGCCAAGGGCTCCTGGGCGACAGGGACACTGGCCACTATGGGGTGCACACGAGCGCGAGGTGGAACCCACCGGGTAGCAGTCACATGGGAGGCAGGAGTCGCTGCCCCGAGGTCGGTAATGGAACTCCTGTTTGAGGATAGGTCAGGGGCCTGAAGTCAGAGGTCAGGGTTTAAGGTAGGGATCTTAGGCCAAGACTTTAGGGGAATACATAGAACCAAAGGGTGAAAGAATTAGGGGTTCACAGGCCCAAAGGAAGACTAGCCTCATAGGAAGACAAGAGAAGGCTTAGGGGCCAAGGAAAAGAGGCAGCAATTAAGTCACAGGACACAGGTAAAAGCCCCAAATCAAGAAGTAGAGGTTAGCTAGCTGTCTAAGGAAGGTATTTAAAAGTCAGGGGGAAAGCCAAGAGCTGGTGGCTCACACTTGTAACGCTAGTTACTCAGGAGGCTGAGGATATGAGGATCGTGGTTCAAAGCCAGCCTGGTCAGGAAAGTCCCCCAAGACTCTCATCTCCAATGAACCACCAGAAAACTGGAAGTGGCACTGTGTGGCTCAAAGTGGTAGCACAAGGGCTGGGAAGGTGGCTCAGTGGTAGAGCGCTTGCCTTGCATGCCTGAGGTCCTGGGTTTGATTCCTCAGCACCACATAAGCAAAAAAAAAAAAAAAAAAAGCCAGAAGTGGCGCTGTGGCTCAAGTGGTAGAGTGCTAGCCTTGAGCTGAAGAACTGAGGGACAGTGCTCAGGCCCAGAGCTCAGGCCCCATGACCAGACCCACCCAAAAAAGTGGTAGCACACTAGCCTTAGTGAAAGAGCTCAGGGACAATACCTAGGCCCTGAGTTCAGGCCCTACAGCCAACATAAATAGATAGATAGATAGATAGATAGATAGATAGATAGATAGATAGATAGATAGATAGATAGAGTAAAAATAAATAAAAAGTCAAGGGGAACCAAGTGTTTGTGTCTGTAATCCTAGCTACTCAGGAGGCTGAGATCTGAGGATCACAGTTCGAAGCTAGCTCTGACAGGGAAGCTAGCTCTGGCAGGAAAGTCTGTGAGCCTCTTATCTCAGCAAAATCCTGAAGTGGAGCTTTGGCTCAAAGGGTAGAGCATCAGCCTTGGGTAAACAAGGGACAGTAACCGAGGCCCTAAATTCAAGTCCTAATACGGTCCTTCCTCTGCCCCCCCCAAAAAAGGTCAGTGGCCAGGCAAACCTTGCAGTGACACTGCCCATTCGTCTTGTTGCAGTTGGGGTCAAAACCCTTGTGGACATCACAGTTGCAGGGCCCACAGTTTGGGGTCCCCCACCATCCCCGAGGACACTGCTGGTCCATCCTGGGGATGAAATGAGGTATAAGGGCCTTCCCTTTAGCTCAGTGACCCTCCCTGACCCCTTCTAGCCTCTCAGTCTCCAGCCTCTCACCTGTGTTCACAGTGGTGACCAAAATAGCCAGTTACACAGTCACAGGTATAGCCATGGGGAGCCCCTGGGAGGTGCCGGCAGGACCCCTGATTCTGACACGGGTTCAAGAGACACACATCCACACATCCTGGGCCATAGTAACCTACAGATCGGGTCAAGAAGCTTAGAACAAGGCTGGGAAGGTAGCTCAGTGGTAAAGTGCTTGCCTCGCATGCATGAGGCCCTGGGTTCGATTCCTCAGCACCACATAAACCGTAAAAGCCAGAAGTGGCACTGTGGCTCAAGTGGTAGAGCGCTAGCCTTGAGTTGAAGAGCTGAGGGACAGCAGCCAGGCCTAGTCTCCTCTGTTCCCTCCAGTCTCCACACCCCCCACACCCCACCCCATGGCCCTACCTGGCCAGCAGGTGCAGGAAAAGGTCTGCCAGAGGTCAAGGCAGTCAGCATGAGGTGGACAGGGTCCCGATGCGCAGGCGTTGGTCACGACACAGCCCGGCTCCACATTCACTCGGTGGGTGGGAGGTAGCAGGGTTGGGGACCCCAAAGGTGTTGAGCCAAGCCACAGCCCCTGTGGATACACCCAGCAAGGGGTTAAGCCCCAGGTCAAGGTACCCCAACATCAAGCGCTCCAGAGCCAGGCACTCTGTTTGATGATTCCCTGATATGCAGTCTCCCCCGTCCTTTAAAGACAGCCCTAACATAGCACCCACACATTGAAATGCTGCTCCAATGAGATTCCTAATGACTCTCACCTCCATTACCACACACAAAGGACTGACCTATTCCTGATTACTCTAGATCTTTATTCTCCCTCCCTCCTCCTCTCCCCCACACCCCACCAAGCCAACCTACTTTAATGCTGCTTTTCAAGTCCCTAGGAGCTGCTAATATCCCACTCATGACCCTTAATGGCCCCCATACCAAGTTCCCATGCTGATTCCCACCTGGACACAGCCGACCAGACCCTGAGGAACCTCCTCCTTACTGCTGGGGGGCAGGCCGCCCACATGGAGTTGCTTTACCTTCAGGCCCTGAAGCTCACTCCCCACAGCCATGGTGTCCTGGAGGAGGTAGATCATCAGTCCTAAGAGTGGGGTACCTAATGGAACCCTAGCATATTCTAGAGTCAGCATTGGCCTTCTTCTAGCCTAGTATGAACCAATGCTCAGAGAGGGCTTTTCCTTCTTGGAGCCAACTTTGAACTATTACAATCTTGATCTGAAGTAGGGTGGGATTAGGGAAGGGATCAGGAGCTTTTAAGAGGTCAGGCAAAGTTCTGGCTATATAAAGACTCCTCAAGACTAGGCCAGGATTCTGACTAGCTTCCCTGACATGAAGACCTCCCCATGGGCTCACCTGGCTGCTAGAGTGGGCTTAGAGCGGGGATATGCGTAGAGAGACTGGAGGAAGAACATCAGAGGGAACAGAGAGGAAGTGGGCTAGGGGGTAAGGTCAAATGAGGTGAAGTCTGATTGGAAGACTGAGAATGGGGTCAGAGGTCAGACCTGGAAGAGGCTGAAGTCCAAGGAGACCAGGAAGACATGATGGCCCTTCCGGCCACCTGGCTCCTCCTGCAGTTCCAGTCTCAGATCATGCCATCGGCCATCACTGACAGTCATCTGATCCAGCAGGAGGTGGGCAGCCCGGCCTGAGCCTCTGGTTACTGTTATGGACAACAACCCCTGATCTACCTGTGGGTAGAGATGTAGAATCCTAGGGTTAGAGCCCCACATTGGGCTGAGGCTAGGAGATCAGATCAGAGGGTTCAGCAATCAGGAAGATCAAAGAGCAGAACAAGAGAGTCAAAGATCTACCTGCAGCCAGGGTACTATGCCAAGTGGCATTGTGTTGTTGGTGTGGGTTGGGGGCAAAGGGCAGGACCAAGGGTCAGTTAGAACAAGAAAGAGTTACGCTTATCTCTTGCACCTGCAGAGGGGAAAAGAGTGAAGGGGCCCGAGGCGGGGGTTATCCATATTTCCAGGATATCTGAGAAATATGATATGTGACCAGGCCTAAACTTCTCATCAGAGACTGGGAACCAAAGGCATAGGAAAGGATTTAGAAGAACAGACACACCTGGCAGAGGAGCGTGCTGTGTGGCCCAACCTGCACTTGCATCAGGACCCCCTGTGTTGCCCGTGTCCGAAATGCCAGCCCCAGGTACCACGGCACAGACACAGCCATGTCATTTCCAAAGTCCCAACTCAGTGTGCCGTTGCCATGGAAATGGTAAGGATGGGCCATGGCTGAGGGGGATAAGAGAAGCAGGGTTATAGGCCCCTCCCTAGAAACAGACCTTCCCCTCTGAGCCCCCTCCGGCCCTGTGTTGTCTGTCCAACTCACTGAGCCGACAATCTTTGCCACCAAAGCCCACAGGGCAGTCACAGTTGAAGCCACCCCAGCGCTCTGAGCAGATGCCACTGTTCTTGCAGGGACCTGAGTCACAAAAGTGCAGCTTGGCCTGGCAGCCTGGGAGAGGAAGGTGTGTGGGAGAGACGAGAACATGACAAAAGGGTACGTGATCTCAGGATACTGGGGTGTAGAGGGACTGAAAATGGACCAGATTTCAGCCTCATGTTGGGTTAGAGATGGAGCTGGTAGAGAGGTAAGGCCCTAAAGGCACTTTGTTGGGGTCAGATACAGAGTCACCCTGTGCGGCCCTCCACCCACTGCTTATGGGGACAAGGCCATAAGGGAATTGGGGGGTTGGGGAGGCTAGTGGAGGCTTCAGGCCTACCTGCTACTGTGCCATTGTTTGCGACGAAGGACGCCATGTCCACTCGGCGGCCGTCGATGTGCAGGTCTCGCATGCAGCCAATGAAGTCCTTGTGGGACACGGGAAAGTTCTCCGGGAGGTTGGGGACACCCCCCAGAAGCAGAGGGCCCGTCAGGTCCAGGGACCTGGGGGTCAGTGGTCTGGGTCATTGGTAGGACTGGGACCAGAGGACAGAGTCACTTGTGGAGAGCCACTGGGAGTTATGGGGGGAGAGGAGGAGGGGGTAAAAACTGAGGGCAGAGTGATTGAGGAAAGAGGGCAAGCTAGGGGAAGGAGTTTAGGGGTGCAAAGGAGAGATCATGATGAACAGATGGTCTGGGGAAAGATTGGGGAGTTGGGGGTGAGGACTCTGATGAAGGAGAGGCACTTAGGTAGCTGAGATAGAAGATGGAGAAGTGGGATTGGGAAGTGAGATCAGTAGGGCTGGGTGTGAAGTTACAAGGCTGGGGATGTGTGACATTAGACACTTGGGTGGAGGGGTAAGGGGGGGGGGTGGAGGTGGAGACTTTGGTAGACCAGATGCCTGATGACTACCAAAAGACTTATTTGTGTGGAAGCATGAACTCAAGAGGTAAAAACAGGATCAGGGGCTAGAGTGAGTAGGCATTAGGATCTTTGACTGGAGAGGGAATCCTGGCAGTGTAGGGGAGAGGACAGGGAATTTGGCAGGCTGGGGTATGTGAAGCATTGGGGTGGGCTGTGGTTAGCAGTGGGCATAGGGATGGGGGGTGGGGTAGGGGCCTCACTTCTTGGAGCTTGTTTGTACACCAGCAGCCGCACATGAATAGTTGCCAATCTCGGCACCAAACTGCAGAGCCACAGCCACATTGCAGTCATCCACGCTCAACACAGCCACCTTGTCCTTGGAAGGGCCCTGAGCACCCCCTAGGGCATCTGTCCGGGGCTAAAGACCCAGGCACAGCAGTCAACAATGCCCCTAGGGTAACCCCTGAGGGACAGAACTCAGAATCCTAACTCCCACCCCCACCCTACCCCACAAACACTATGCTAAGGGCGGTGCCCACCTTGTTGTAGTATCTCAGATGTACTGTGTGCCACTGCCCATCACTCAGGCCCCCTGGAACTGTGGGGCTGACCACTGTGTTCGATTCACCTGTGAGGAAATAAATATGCATGAGGGAAATAAATATGCATGGAGAGGATAGTCTGGAGCTGTTGGGATTATCCCACCCCCACCCTAGTCATCTATGCACAGTTATTCCCAGGGTCATCCTGAATGTATCTGATTAGGATACCTGAGCTGAAGAGCTCGGGGACAGCGCCCAGGCCCAGAGTTCAAGCCCCATGACTGACCAAAAACAAAAACACAGTGTATGGCTGATTAGGATACCTTCTAGTGAACACACCATCAGGATTGGGGTTCCCTTAAATAGTAAGAGCAACCCACACGTCCTGGAGAAATAGACCTTCCCAGAGAGAATGTCCAAAGGACTGGAGGCATGAAAATGCTAAGCAAAAGCTCCAGACCACAAAAGGTGAACAAATGTAATAGCAGTGCTCACTGGATACTATGTGAAAAATGAACTATACAACTTGTATGTGGAGACAGAAGGGGAAAAACTGCAAGAGCACGAAGGAAGGGATGACACTGTCCACGAAGAAATGTACTTTTTCCAGGAGCTAGTCGCTCATGCCCATAATCCTAGCTATTCAGGAGGCTGAGATATGAGGATCGTGGTTCAAAGCCAGCCCAGGCAGGAAAGTCTATGAGACTCTTATCTCCATGTAATCACCAGAAAGTGGTGCTCTTCTCAAAGTGGTACAGCTCTAGCTTTGAGCAAAAAAGCTTAGGGACAGTACCCAGGCCGTAAGTTTAAGCCCCGTGACCAATGGGGGTAAAAGAGAGAGAGAGAAAGAAATGCACTCTTTACCTGACTTACAACTGTACCCCCCTTGTACATTACCTTTATAATAACAATAAAAAATAAAATTTAAAAAGGAAGGCTGGGGAATGTGGCTTAGTGGTAGAATGCTTGCCTAGCATGCATGAGGCCCTGGGTTTGATTCCTCAGTACCACACCAATAGAAAAAGCTGGAAGTGGCGCTGTGGCTCAAGTGGTCGATCGCTAGCCTTGGGCAAAAAGAAGCTCAGGGACAGGTTCTGAGTTCAAGCCCAAGGACTGGCCAAAACAAAAAAAAAAAAGGCTCAAGACCCTGAGGTCAAACCTTAGTACCAGCACATGTGCACGCACGAACACAGACACACAGACACACAGACACACACACACACACAATGGCCACAGAACTATGAGTTTATATGTACAGTGAGGGACACCTGAGGGAATTCATGGATTTTTTTTTCCTGTCAGCTGTTCTGGCAACACCTGTACCCAGGTCAGTGTCATGCGCATGCGTGGAAGCACTCACCCGTGGAATACGTGAGCCGTACTTGGCCAGCCACAAGTTCCAAGGCCAGAAAGTCGTGCTTCTCGTTCAGACGCCCATTGTAGAACAGCAGCCCGCTGGGCTGCACGGTGGCAAACCTAGGAGGAGCAGGAGTTAGAGGCCGAACGGAACCCGCACACCCTCCATCCAGGCCTCGGCCTAAGCGGAGCCGAGGCGGGGAAGGTGCCGGCCCCTGGATACCCGGATGTTCTGAGGACCGCAGTGGGTGTCGGGAGGGTGTGGTGTCCCCCACCCCCCGGTGGGGACATCAGTGAGGGGGGGGGCAGTGAGAAACCAAGAGACAACGAAGGTAGCGACAGCGTAGCAACGCTCGGAGACACACGGGACGGGCACCTACGAGAGGGACAGCGTGAGGTGGAAGCGCTGTCGCAGGCCGCGGAACATGACGAAGGAGCTGGCCGGGAAGGAGCGAGCTGCCACCTCACAGCGCGGGCCCTCGAAGGCGCCGCCCGCGGGGCACTGGCAGCGGAAGCCGCCGTTGGGCGCGTTGGTGCAGGTGCCCCCGTTGCGGCAGACGCCCGCCACGCAGCGGCCGGCCTCCGTGTCCAGCTCGCAGTCTTCCCCTGCCGGGAGCCAGAGCCGGTCAGCCGCCGCGGCTGCCAGGCCCCGCCCACGCCCCAGACGGCCCGCCCCTCCAAAGGTGGGGGGGAGAAAGGGGTGGGGCGAAGAGGCCGGGCCGGGTTACGAGCCTTTTGAGTGGTTGAGCTGTCTGTGGACACGCCCTCATTCAGCCTGAGGCCGCCCTATCCACCAATCCCAGATTTGACTACGCCCCCCCACCCGGATGGGCACGCCCACCGTTTGACCCTATCCAGGTCCCACCCAACCGGACACGCCCATACTCCAATCCCATATTTGGCCACGCC